GGTTCAAGCGGGAACACACACACATGAGAGAGAGAGAAGGGGAGATGAGAGGAAGAAAGGGCCTTTTGGCTAAGATCAAGTGTAAAGTATGAGAGAGAAAAATGCCAAATCATTTTTTCTCCAGATTTAATAATTCTTAAGAACATTTTGATTGAACATCTGATTGAAATATCTTATTTAAATAGCAGCTGGTTTGAAATGTTGCTTATTTATATTAACCAATAATTATAAACAGGATAAAAACTTTCAAAATGTTTTCAGGATGCTTCTAGATCATGGGTCCCCAAACTTGGCAACTGGCTGGAGAATCCTGGGAATTTAAATCCACAAGTTGCCAAGTTTCGAGACCTGTTTAATCTAGACAATGCCTTATTATTAAGAATCCAGTGCTATAATTTATTGACAATAAATGCAATAAATTTATCCAACATCTGTTTAAATAAAAAAATGGCTATCCTGACCTGATTCATCTGTGCATTGCTTTAGCCTTCCATTTTAATTCTTGGGAAAAGAAGCACTTACATAACATTACAGCTGTTCTGTACCATCTCTGTTCTGATTTTTTTTCAACTATGCATTTGCTACAAGTATTCACATAGCTACTGTGCGTGTGCAGGCATACAGACACATACATACCACTGGAACAAGAGATATTCTGCCAATGTCACTTTCATGCAAGTCTGCAAAAGCAAAAGCCAGTCCAAGCATCCTGTTGAACTTTTCCAAGAGGTAGCGTAGGCACTAATAATTCTTCAGTCTTTGGTGGTTGAGGAATGTTCTTGGGCTTTAAATGGACACTTTGCAGGAGAGGGGGGGAGGGGGAGGCAGCAGGGAGTTGATGTCTTCTATTCCTTTGTCCTTGTCCATCCCAGATCGCTTCCTAGGCTCGGGGCTCTCCTCTGACCACCTCCCAACTCTGTGTACCCCCTTAGCCACCTTGGGTGCATTTCTACAGGGGTTGTGGTCATAGATCACCAATTTCAAACCATCCAGGTGGATGAGGCTGGGGAAATCATGAATGGCATTGTAGTCCACATCAATCACTTCCAGGAAAGGCATGTGCAAAAGCACTGGTGGGAAATCGGTCAGTAAGTTGCTGGAGAGCCAGATCGTACGCAGTTCCTTCAGATACAGAAGCTCTCCGGGCAGAGAGCGCAGTGCATTGGATCCAGCGTGCAGCGTCTTGAGGTGCTTCAGTTCACACACCACATTGGGCAGGTGGTACAGGCGGTTGGATTCAATCCATAAAGTCTTGAGGTTTTGGAGCCGATACATCTCAGCAGGTAGGTCTCCCAGTTTGTTATTGCCCAGATAAAGGATACACAGCTGTTTCAAGGTGCACACCACTTGGGGTAGTGTGTGGAAGTTGTTGAAATCCAGTGCCAGGATCTGAAGGTTCTGTAACTGTTCTAACTCAGGGGGCAGATGATTCAGGTTGTTGTTGCTCAAATACAGCTTGACCAGCTCACTGAAAGAGCAAACACACACAGGAAACCGTCTCACTTGCCTGCCACTCAGATCCAACATCTTATCAATTGGCATCTCTTCAAGGTCTCCTAGGATGTATTTCTGGCACTCATCAAATGGGAGAAAGGCTATAATCGCTCTTAATGTGTTGCCCATTCTTAAAAGTTGCAATGGCTTTTAGAGTCAGATGAATATTCCTCGTAGATGAGTTTTACTCTGCTCTTCTGGCATTTCCTCTTCCCAGTAAAATAGAGGCAGGGTCTACATGGCAACAATCATGATTTTCAAGAGCCCTGAAATATTTCTGATAAGCAAATGAGTGTCTGCTGATGAGAAGTACAGACATTCCTGTGAAGCAGCTCTAATAGAAAAGGGCAGTAAAACCATCTCAGGGAAGTTCTTGTTGATCTCAAATGTTTTTGGAAATGCTTCTGAGTTTCCTCTTTAGGATGTTTCATTTTGAGGTTTGTGTCCCATGACTTAATGACCACCAATATGATCAACCCTTTCAGCAATTTATCCATTCGTATGTATGGGTTCAGACATGTGTTAAGTCATGACATGACTTCCTGATTTTGGTTTAGCAAGTGATACGAATCTGTGTTTATGGCAGGGTGAACAAGGCATTGAATATCAGCCTCAGTAGCTGAAAAATTAGGTATGGCATTAATTTCCCCTTCATTTCATATGACCCTAATTCAGATCTGGGTCCCCACCGGCAGACTTTTATTTAAAAAGCATGGAATGAGAAATGTTTTAAAGCATCTGATACGAAATGCAATGAATTAGTGCAGTTTGCATAAAAACAGTTACACATTCTCTAAGCCAGAACGTGGCTTTTTGTTGCAAAACACAAATTGCCATATTTATTAAATAATCTAACAAGTGTGACAATTTGTGTTTTATTCCATTTCTTTAGTATTTTTTGAGATGTGTCAAAATATAAAATTTAGGTGGGAAGGTCTAGCTTACCATTTAACCATTAATCTGTGTTATCAACATAGATCATTATGACCTTAAGCTATTGCATCTTGTGACCATTGACATAGCCAAAGTCTCAGCAGAGAGATAATGAAATACAATATTGCAGATAATGAGTTTTGGTGTGTGGGGAGAGGGTGGGAACCGATTCATATATTTGTTCTACCTCTAAAAGATGGAAGCTTTTAAGAAAAAAAAGCTTTTAGGGCTCAGTGTATGGTTTTTCCCTTTGCCAATATTTTATCCCCCAATAAACTTGTCAGAAGATTACTATCCAATGTTAGTGACTGGATATGGTTTGAATCCTGCTTTCCTCAATTTTAGTTCACTCTGACCATGAGATTACACTGATTCTGTAGGAAGACAACATCAAATCAGTTTCCTTTCTTGACTCATTTTGAGAGCCAGTTTGGTGTAGTGATTAAGCCATCGGGTGAGAAACCAGAATACCATGAGTTCTAGTCCTGATTTATGCAAAAAGCCAGAGTCACCCTCTCAGCCCTAGGAAGGAGGCCATAGCAAATCACCTCTGAAGAACCTCACCAAGAAAATTGCACGGACTTGTCTGGGCAGTTTCTGAGAATCAGACGAATTGAAGAGAAGAGGGAAACATAAACCATTTAGCTATATGATATTTCAAATACAACATTTAATCAATGGAATGATTTGCCTCCAGAAGTTGTGGATGCTCCACACTGGAAATTTTAAAGAAGAGATTACAAAACCATTTGTCTGAAATGGGGAAGGGTCTCCTGCTTGAGCAGGGGGTTGGACTAGAAGACCTCCAAGGTCCCTTCCAACTCTGTTATTCTCTTATCATTCATAAATGCAATATATTTCTCCAGAAAATAACTCACAAGTGCCCACCCTCTTAAAAGAACTTGGTCAATAGCTGTGAAGGATGCTCCAGAAAAAAAAACAAAAACCCTTCCTTCAGATGTCTATGGAGATTCTCAGTCATCCAGGTCATGGTTGTCCCAAAGGTGCTTTTTCTTTTTTCTTTTTAATTTTTTTTATTAATTTTTATTCTAGAAAAAACATTTATTTGACATACTTTTAAAACAGACAAATCAACACACACACACACACACACATACATTTTACAGCATATATTGAGCAATGGTTAAAAAAAAATTTCTTTATCATTGACGTGATCAGCCTTGTTACAATAACTCCTTCGTTCTTTTAATGTTTTAATTTCTCTATATAGTTTGTGATTAAATGCACATCTTTTCCATAACTTATCCAAATATCAAATATTACCTTTTGTTTAACCACTCACACCAAATGTTCCATATTTCATAATAGTCACTATCTTGTTTATTTTTTAACAGTTTGGTTAGGCTATCCATCTCAGCACATTCATGTATTTTTTAAGTTACCATATCCTCTGAAGGAATGGAAGACAGTTTCCAGTTTTGTGCATAGGTTATTCTGGCCGCAGTTATGATATGCAAAATTACATATTGATATTTTTTCTCCATGTTTGAATCTATCATACTTAGCAGAAAGTTTTAGGGTTCAAATTTTAAATTTTGTTTTGTTATATTTAAAATCCAATTTCTAATATTTCTCCAAAATTTCTGAGCACATGGGCAAGTCCACCACATGTGAAAATATGTTCCTTGTGCATAGTTACATTTCCAACAATTGGGTGGTAGGTTGGGGAACATCTTAGCCAGTCTCGCAGGAGATAGGTGGCAGCGATGAACCATTTTATATAAGTTTTCTTTATATGAGACTGACATGGTTAATTTGTAATTTGTTTGCCAAATGTGTTCCCACTTATCTAATTCAATACTATGACCCACGTTTTTAGCCCAAATTATCATAGATTCTGTAATTGTTTCTTCTTTTAATTTGTAGTCCAAAAGATATTTATGTTTTACTAATTGTTTTCTTTTCCTCTCCTAGCCATATTTTATCTAATTCTTGTGGGTTTGTATTTGTGCAAAGGGCCACCATGCTATCTCCCCAAAGGTGCTTTTTCAAGGGGTGACTGGACGTATAGAAAGTCCAGTTGCCTCTTGAAAAAGCACCTTTGGGACCTTCCTTCAGATGTTTGGTCACAAGTGATTCATACTCACTTAGACTTGGAGAAAAGGCTTTCAGTGACCTGTATGCAATTAGGCAGCAACTATTGTTAAACTAATTTGTGTCAGAAAATGTGCTGATCTATTATCTATTAGAATAGAATAGAATAGAATAGAATAGAATAGAATAGAATAGAATAGAATAG